AATTATTTTATGGTCACAATTCAAAAATGTTTTAGGTCACAATTTGTTCGTCGGTCACAAATCAAACATTTATACGTCACAATTTATTCATCGGTCACAAATCTATCAAATTAATAAGTCACATATTATTCATTGATCTCAAATCATAAATTTTATATGTCACAAATTATTTTAACGTCATAATTCAAAAATTTTATAGGTGACAATTGTCCATCGATCACGAATAAAAAATTTATACCTCACAATTTATTTATCGATCACAAATCACAAATATTATAAATCACAACTTATTAGATAGTCACAAATTATCAAATTATCAGTTACAAATTAACAATTTTTTAGATCGAACATTATTTTTTTGTCACAATTTATCTTTTTCATTAGTTAAATATTACTTATCAATCACAAAATAATCAATTTAATGGTTACAAACAATCGAATAATTCGTGACCACTATCGACAGCTGTGACTAGAACCTCACCACTGCCACCAACAGAATGGCAACCAAAATCCCGTCATCGAAACCACCACTACCACCTCCCAACAACAAACTATTGTTTAAAGATATCGACATCATCACAACCACCACTACTCATCCACAACCACCGCACCACCACCACTAAAACTAAAACCACAACCTCCACCACCATCCTCATCCTACAACCCAAAATAATTCCCAACCCTACCACCATCGCCGTCGCCACCGCCATCTCCATCACAGCCGCCACCACAACTACCATCTCCTCAATCTTCATCTCAACCACACCACAACCACCAACCCACTAAAAATCCCCAAACCGACACCACCACCATGACCACCACAGCAACCATGATGCCGCACCACGACCACCACCAACTCATCAACACCGCCACCGCTGCCACCAACCGCGAAAACAGCACCACCACCAACAACCGCAAACACAACAAAAAAGACCCAGAGATAAACACCATTTACACAGCTACATGTCGCACCCAACCACCATCTCACCATAGATCCACCGCACACCACCACCAACACAATTTACACAGCCACACGTCGTGGCAAAAAGAAAATGGAGATGGGGAGGAAGGAGAGAAGAGGGGAGAGAGAGCAACGGCACACGAATGTCGCGACACCGCGCAAGGCACTGGTTGGTTGCCTCTAACAAATTTTTAACTAGTTTTGCTTTCCTCCTTCCATCTTCAACTTTTACATGCTCTCATTTGCTGAGTAAAAGAGTTGTTGTTACAAAGAGAGAGAGGTGGAGGAAATATCAAGAACTCATCTCACATTCCCCCATCTTCATTGAAAGGTAATTTCTCTCTCTACTTTTCCTGTTATTCAGATTGTTAATTTCGGGATTTGGGTAATGATTTGAGATTTTAGGATTTTTAGGGTTTGGGTAGTATTAAAGATTTGAATTAATATCTGATTTTTGTATAAATAAATTTTATATCTGATTTTTGAAATTGAATTTTTAAAATTTTGGTTTTGTGTCATTTCCTCAATATTTATAGTAGCGTGGACCCGAGGCGGTTAGGCTGTCGTTTGAGGAAGGAAATGAATTATTTGCTTCCAATTTAAGTTGGGTTTGATTTTGCTAAAAATTATATTTTTATAAATTTTAATAAAAATTGATGAAATATTTGATTGAAAAATTGATAAAATTATAAATTCTACTGAAGATTATTAGAATTAATTTTTGATTTTGACCTATATTTTTATTAACTTTTTTACTTACATCAAATATAGTTGAAATCTTGGAAACACCAAGCGATGTGAGTACATATATTTAAAATCTTAACAGTTTCTTTCCGACAACAGCATAGATAGATCATTAAATCCACAACTATACATATGTGTAACTGAAGTGTTGTCTTAAATTCGTTGCTTTCTCTTTTACTACTCCCTTTAACTTTGATTTTTCGACAACTAAATTTTCATGAACATACTTTAGATGAGCTACATAAGTAGATAGAAACCTCCATATCCTAAATTTGATTAAATCTATTAAATGAAACATAAATGTATAGTATAGAGTTTGTTCTTACAAAAAATGCGAGACGGTTAGTGCAGAAAACCTAGTTAAGAATTGATAAATACCTTTTTATTTTATTTTTTGAATGAAAGAGGAATGATGATAGAAAGACCTCAATCATTATCGAGATGAGGTAATGGTATGATGAGGAGATGTAAAGATGTGATTCAAGGTGTGCAAATAATTCTATGGAAAATGCCTCACGTACAGGAGGCATTTTCCCCACATGTATTTAAAAAAAAAAAAACCACCCCCTCCTTGCATGTGAGTTCATGTAATTTTACCCACCTCCTTCCTGTGAACTCACCCCTGTATTGGTAGCAAAGCCTAATCCTATATAACTATTGAAGTTATTAGTTTTGACTTTTGAGTCGTCATCTTTAGATCTTAATTGAAGATCAATAAAAACTTGAATTCATAAACTTACTTGAGCCCCGTTTGATCTACATTATTATCTTATTAAAATGAAAAATATGACCGTTATTCATCACATCAACATTTAAATTCAAATTTTATATCTCTTATATGGGTCCCAATAACTACTATATTTTTTATTCTCATTCTGCAATAATTTGGCTCAAACAGGGTCTGAATAAAGTTGGAAGCTTGTTACTTCAATTTCAAAGCATCTAGATTCAAGATTCTACTTATAATCAACGTTTTTAAAAAACGCATTTAGGCACCGCTTATGTGCGAAGCGTGAACAAAACGTCTCATTTCGAATTTAGGTGCACTTTTTTTCTCAGTATAGTATTTTATATATAATTTTATATGTTTGGTTGGTATTATTTTAGTTATTAAATAAATTGATTACAAATTAAAAATAATATTAAAATAAGAAATATATTTTTTCACTTTTTTATATTTAAACCTCACCTACCTCCATGTCTAATTATGTCTTACGTTTTTTTAGAACACTACTTTAACAATTAGGAGTGGCTTGGACCATACTGAAAACCTTGATTGGAGGGATGAGGTTTAAAACAATTAATTTTTAAAGGAAAATTCTTATTGAACCCAACAAATCGAATCGACATGAACTAGTTTAGGTCAATTTATTCCTCTCATCAATTCGGATATAGGTTGGAACTTTTGATTCGATTGTCGGATGGGGTCTGAATCCTACATGTGCCTACCCATTGAATAAAAATATTAAAATTAGTAACTTTGAAAGGTGAAATTATTATTTATTTATGATCTTGAGGATATAGAGAGATATTTTTGAGGTCTAAACAAGAATTTCAAATTCGCCTCAAAATGAGTAAAATAAAATAAGAATAAAACAGAACGGATATCGTAAAAAATCCCAGAAACGCCCAACTGAATACAGTCATACTGACTGCAAAATTACCATGTTTTGGCGATGGAAGCAAAGCTAGAGCTCCGCCATTTTCCCTGTGTCCAATTTCTTCATTATCCACAAAAATTTCAAGTTAAATACCTAAGAAAATCAATCCCTTTTCAGTCCAATCTCCTTTGAACAACTCGAAACACAATGCCAGGACTGAATATCCGGTTTAAGGATAAAGNCACAAAAATTTCAAATTAAATACCTAAGAAAATCAATCCCTTTTCAGTCCAATCTCCTTTGAACAACTCGAAACACAATGCCAGGTCTGAATATCCGGTTTAAGGATAAAGATTCGACATCATACCAACAAACCCATGTTCCATTTTTACCAGAGAACTCAAATAATTCAATTTTATGTTCCGGTGGATTATTCCTTGTTGATAATAAGATCCCTTCGTCAATTATTAATGTTTTTTTCATTGACAACTATGTTCCCGTTAAACATTCGACTGAATTGCATTCTCGTAGTAGTTCGGTAGTTGGGTTTGAATTTTTGTGTTTGAGTTTATCAATTAAAGAGAAAGATGGAGTTATTAGGAATTCGAGTGAGAGTTTGGAGCAGAAGAGTATTAAGGAGGCTCGAGCGGTTGTTGGCGGAGGAAGTACGGCGGTGAAGGCCGGAAAAGTATCGAAGGTTGGCTTGCGTAGCCGCGGGGCGGTGAACACTACCAAACATTTGTGGGCTGGAGCTGTGGCTGCCATGGTTTCAAGGTCTGCAATTTTTATTGCTTTTTTATTTATTTCCATTTGGTTAAGTACACACGTACACAAATTCATTAATGTGCGATACTTGAACCTCAGTACGTGTGTCTGCTCTAATAATTGAACTAGTCGATCTAAATGGTTAAGCTGTTAGAGAATATTTAAGTTGTTAAGGGGGACACATATATGTCATTTAAAATTTGCCTTCAATTCACATGGGCTAAATAGGATTCTGCTTTACACATAAAACCAAGTTCATGACAATCAGACAATTTATAATGTTGCAATTGGCTTTCCAATGTCTCGTGGTAGAATTTCTTATCTAGTTTGGTTGAGTATGTTTGTAATCATATGGTTCTTTTTGCTTTGCAACCTGTTTTTCTCTGTATCAACATTCTGATGAGATAAATCTGAAGTTTATTGCTTATGATTATTTTAGAAGCATGTTTTGAAGTTATCAGAATCATTTGGGAAATACCTTAGTTGTCGTTTGAAGTTATTAGAATTACAATAATATGCATTTATCCCCATTGTGATGATCTGTACTGCAATTCAAGGGATCTCCTTTGTTTACTCTCTGTTGGTTTCACTTTCTTGCAAACTACTATCTTGTTGTTGGGTCTGTCTTTTAGTTGACACCGAGAAGCTACACTCCGCAATTGGAATGATGAACCCATGGTTTTTTTTTTTTTTTGTTTTATTCTCGTAAGAACTTCATCTATGTGTAAATAGTTTTCTTTGATCAGAACTTGCGTTGCTCCGCTTGAGAGACTAAAGCTGGAATATATAGTCCGTGGTGAAAAGAGGAATATATTTGAGCTCAT